ACCCAGGACAGCCCTGGGTAAAGGGCTCTTGAGGAAGCTACTCTTGGAAAGCCTAGTCAGTCAGTCCAGCTGCTCAGAAAGGCAGGGTCTCTGTTCCCAGGCAGGGACAGCATGAGAGAGGCTGTTACTGTTCAGAACTCTAAGCATGCTCTGTTGTGACCCCACTACCAGCCTCCCGCCCCGCCCTATCGAATTGGAGCCCGTTTCCTTGCCATACACAATAACTGGGCTTCTTCTCATACACCTTACAATTCATACCTCTGTCCCCATAGCACAATCCCCTGCCTATGCTGCTGTCCCTTTCTACTTCTGGGAACTCTTATTAGGTTTTCAAGGGGTCCATGCTCCGTGAAACTTGAACTCCCAAAGAAATACTCTATTCTCTAAACTCAGCCTGGGCTTTGTAAAGACCTCTCGAGGCAAGTGTCTTAAAGTGGGGTAATTGCTGTGTCCATGCCTATGTCTGGCCCCACCTTCCCCAAGGAAAAGCCCCTGCTCCAGTGCCTAGCATGCAGAGCTGAAGGAAGGTATTCTTGTGAAGAGAGGCAGCCAGAGCAGGCAGGCAAGCTGAGAGGCAGATTATAGCCCCGAGTCAAGAGCACTGAGTCAAGAGTGGTCACCTGGACAGGCATGTGGGGAAGACAGATCACCAGCTCCCCAGGAAGCCCCTCGGGCTGGAGCCCGAAGGAGTCTGGGGGCCTCACTGTCTCTGGTCCAAACGGCCATACCTGAGCCCTGGCCTCTTTTGCTCCATTTGTGGGATGGAAAAAGCAGCTTGCTGTCAATAGAAGAGGAGTTCAAGGTCAGCCTAGGCTATGTAAGAAGTCGACATCCTGTGCTACATGAGACTGGAAAGGAGGCAGAGGAAGGGAGAGGAGGTGGAGAAAGTCACACTGGATCTCAGTGGCTGTGAACTCTGGATTGTGAGCATCCTCTAGAGAGCAAGGGGGCACACAGCAGCCTCACAAGGCTGGCAAAGACTGGGCTCACACTCAGTGTAGGTTCTTTGTGGAAGTCTTTGCCTCACTCCCACGTGCTTTCCCAGCTCCCTCTGGCCCCTTACTGTTCTTCTCCCACCCATGTCCGGCTGCCTGCAGGTGACAGAGCCTGCTCTAAACCCTGTGGAGCTGTGACTGGGGAACACATTTGTCACGGTGTAACCAGAGAGTGTCTGGGGGCTTGATGCCAGTGCTCCAGCTGGGGCCAGCGCCAGGCCCCCTCCTCACAGCTGTCAAGAGGAGGCTCAGAGACAAAGCAACTAGGGGCCCTCACTGGGGGCAGGGGCTAGGTGGGGCCCTGTTTGCAAAGAGACAGGGAGGCCACAGCAGGTCCATGTGGTGTAAAGGAACCAGTATCTCTAAGAAACGCTGATAGCCTGGGCCAGGGAAAGCAACACACACCTGGAGAACTTTGAAAAAATGACTTCACCTCTCTAAGCTGGACTTTGCTCATCAAGAATAACAATATCTAATTCTGCAAGCTTAATGCAAAGATCAAATGAACAAGCAATCAGCCAAGGTGCTGGGCAGAGTGCCTGGCAAGCCACAGACATAAGCCAACTTCTCTTGGCCTTCTCTTTCGTGATGCCTTTTCTTATCTTCTCTCTACTAGTCCCTATCCCACTTGTGGGGGGGATCCTCCAGGTCAATGGGGCAGGGCCCAAGGATAAGGCGGGTAGCTCTACTTTGAGTGGGCAAACCTAGAAAAAGCAAAGTCAGAGGCCTTCACCCTGGCCCTGGCTCACGTGAGGGCTTGCTCAAAGCCTGCCAACCTCTGGGGATCTTGGTTCTCCTAATCCCCCACCTACCCACCCACCCTGATGCATATACAAACCCTTCCCAGATAGTTTTTTGTTTTGCTATGTGTTGCACAATTTGATACCACGCCTTTTGTTAAGACAGCTGCTACCTTCCTTGCCAAAGTCGTTCCAGAGGGTTGTGGGTAAAGGGCCAGAAGACAAGGCCCTTACCCATAGACAGGAAGAGCAAATGGGACTGAGACCCCAGTCCTTGGCCCTAATGCTGTCCCTCCCTTCTACCCTGTTGGTGTGGCTGCTGCCCCACAGATTGACTGGTAGAAGGGAAACATGATGTCTGAGTGCCAAACAGGGGATGTGTTCATTCCCCTACCACTTCACCTACTCAGCACCCAAAATGCCAGCCTGCTTCAGCTGGGCCCATGGTACCCGATTTAATTGGGTCTTAGCCAGGAAAACTTAAAGGTGGCTCAGGGTGAGACTGGCCCCCTAGTAGAAGTTAAGATTCCAGTGCTTGGGCTCACCCTCTCCCAGAACTGCCCTTTGGTGACTGACTGGCCAGCTAAGTCAGTGTGATCCTGCACGTGACAGCCATGTCAAACTAGTCACCCAGGCACTCACAGTCCACAGACAAGACAGTGAAAGAGAGTGCCAGGGAGGACAGCCACTGGAGCGGAGGGAAAGGAGGGCAGCAGATACCTGGTTGATCTGGCAGGGAGAGGGGTATATGGGAGAAGCCCCAGCAAAAAGCTGCTCACACAACACCTGAGCAAGAGAAGAAGCAGGGATCCTGCCACGAGGATCCAGCACAGTAGGGAGAGGAGGACACAGAAACATCAGGACCACTCCTCAATGAGCCTCAAAAGCCTTGCCCTAAGACCTGTGCTGAGCACCCTGAGCTCCTGGAAGATTGTAAGGGGGGAGGGGACTGATCAGGCCTGCAGTTTGTGGAGATCACTCTGGGGATGGAAATGTAGCTCAGGCAGTAGAGTGCTTGTTTGCCTTAAGCACTGGGTTTGAGCTCCGTCATGCAGAGACTCTGGCGGTACACACCTCTAATCCCAGAATCCCAGGGTTGAGACAGGAGGGTCAGGAGTCCAAAGTCACCCTTGGCTACATAGTAAGTTAGGACTAGCCTGAGCTACATAGAACTGTGTCTCCTCAGAAAAGAAAGGAAGCTGGGTACCATGGCATCTCTGAGTTTGAGGCCAACCTGGTTTACAAATCGAGTTCCAGGGATGTTACTAAGAAAAACCCTGTCTTGGAAAGAAAGAAAGAAAAAAAAAGAAAGGAAGGAAGGAAGGAAGGAAGGAAGGAAGGAAGGAAGAAAGAAAGAAAGAAAGAAAGAAAGAAAGAAAGAAAGAAAGGATAGAAGGGAGGAAGGAAATAATATCACTCAGGATGGAGGGTGAAGAACAGCTTCAAGAGGACAAGATTGGCTGCAGAAAGACATTTAGCTTGTGATGACAGCTGACAATATGAAAGTAGCCCTGGAGGTAGAAGAGCCTGGTGGAGCTCAGGCACACGGCCTCATCCCCTCACATATCTGTGGCCAGGACTAGAATTGCTGTGGGACATTCCAGATGCTCCTACCTGTGTGTATCTGCTAAACCCGAGGAAAAAAGAGAGTGGAGAGTTCGAAGAAGGTGGGGAAGACCAGGAAGGTTGGGGATACAGACAAGAAGCACTCATGCATGGTGGCAGCATTTAGAGGAGAGGAGATCAACAAGTTTGTTTATCTGGCTATAGAATCCCAGTCCAAGGTGTCTGTGAACAAAGGACACTATGCTGAGGCAGAGGATCTAAGGAGGAGCCTGAGACATCCTAGCCCCTGTGAATAGATGCGCACACCATGTATACACGTGTGCAACCCAGCCCCAAGAGCCTGTAACTACAGTACAAGGCCTCCCTTCAGCAGACACAGCCCTCCCAATGGAGCCATAGGCCAGCAGCTGTGTATGGATGGAGGGGATGCTGAGGCTCGGTGGAGCTGTTGTGGAGAGACTGTCCTCTGAATACCCGAAGCTAGAACTAAAGAGGGGCTACAGATTCTGTGATAGCCAGGCTGTGCTGGGATACCTGCTAGACAGCACCCCTCCTCCTCTCCTTCATAGCGTTGGGACTGGGGGGAGGGGCGTGATACTCGTCAAATCCACTTTAGGAAAATTGGCTACATGATGTTTATTGCAAACTGCAATTTAGCATCTCTATTCAGGTCCTCTCCATGTTTAATTAGGTATAATGTGGTGGAGGGGAAGAAGCAGAGAAAGGACTCCATATGACTCCCTCCTCAGTTTCTTTCTCCCAGAGTGTTAACAAAGATCAGAGGTGAGACATGGAGCCCAGCAGAGGGAGGAACAAGGGCCTGGCACCTTCCGTGTCTTCACATGCCAAATCTGCAGAGCCAGAAAGCTGCCTGTACTCCTGGCTGCAGGGTGGGCTGGTGGCTCACTATGCCCCAACAAATCCCAGGCCCAGAAACGTGGCATATCCCATACAGAGCAAGTTGAGAGGGGCCACCCCCACACCCCAGCCCAGATGGGAGCTATACTCAGCCATCATACATCAGACTACAGCTCCCTGTGATTCCAACCTCTCTAGACTGAAGAGACTAGGGTTCCCCCAGGAGCCTCCAGGCACCCCTTTCCCATCTAATCTCCTAGCCTTCTTCCCCTCAGGATCCCATCCTCTCCAGAGCTGTGAGGGCAGGGCTCCAATTAGCTCATTTGCTTGGTTAATTGGGTGGGGAGGGGAAGGAATTAAACTCCTCGTCAGGGATCTCCCCTGCAGGGCCAGAAATGGAATGACAGGATGGGGGGCCCCATCTCTGAGCACCTTCAGCCAACCCTGGATTCCCATACACACCTCCATGCCCTAGATCTGGATCCAAACCTGCACTGAAGTGACAGTTCTGGGAGAGATTCTCACCTCCTGGCCTAGCCAGGCAATCACCCTTCTAGAACCAGAGTACAGTGGGGGACAGGGGATGTGTGCCTCAGGGTTTGAGTCTATTAATTTTCTAGGTTTTGCTGGCCTTACTGACTCTTACTGGCTCATGAGCCTCTCTCTCTCTTCTAGAACCAGAGTACAGTGGGGGACAGGGGATGTGTGCCTCAGGGTTTGATTCTATTAATTTTCTAGGTTTTGCTGGCCTTACTGACTCTTATTGGCTCATGAGCCTCTCTCTCTCTCTCTCCCTCCCTCCTCTCTCTGTCTCTGTCTCCTCCTGGTCTCTTGGTTCCAGAAAAGCCCCTCCCCCAGGGGGGCCCAGGAAGTGCAGCCAGGCTCCTTGGGGGTGCATTGGCCATGGTCCTCGTCCTTGGCGTGACTCTGGCTGTCTTCCTTCTGTACCACTGGCAGCAGAAGAACCAGTTAGGAATTGACATAGATGGGTGAGTGTGGACAAGCCTATCTCCCTTGCTGTCCCTGGTGGCTCTCACATTCCTAGGAGTACTCACCTTTCAGGAGTTCAGGGGATCAGGTGCTCCTCAACACATGTGGGACAGGCCAGGCATTAGTCTCCGCTGGAAGGACAGTCCTGTGGGCAGAGCCCTGTGCCTACACTCTGTCACAGAGATGCAGTTCACCCTCACAGCAGCTCAAAGTCAACACACAATTTACAGATGAGGAAGACTGTGGCCAAAGAAGCTGCTATATAACTATTACAGCTTTACCTTCTCCGAACCCAGTGGTTCTCAAACCTTCCTAATGCTTGAATACAGTTCCTCATGTTGTGGTGACCTGCAACCATAAAATTATGTTGTTGTTACTTCATAACTGTAATTTTATGAATCATAATGTAAATATCTGATATGCAAACCCAGAGGGGTCATGATCCATAGGTTGAGAACCGCTGGACCTAGCCACTGACCAAGGGTGAGCTGGGGGCTGGAGACTGTTGAGGTATAAAGTTTATGAAGGAGCTCAAAACTCTAGTCATCACCATCAATAACATTTTAGCTCTTCTCTTTCATATATACATATATATGTTTGGTTTTGGTTTGGGGGGGTTTGAGGATTTGGGTTTTTGTTTTGTTTTGCTATGCTTTTTTTAGATAGGGCCTCACTGGGTTGCTCAGGCTAGCCTCAAATTCCTGGGTCCAAACCATTCTCCTGCCTCAACCCTCATGCCAAGCTTGAATGCAATATTTTTTTTATTAAAAATCAGTGTAAAAAAAATCTAGGATGAACAAAATATCCACATTTTAAATAGAGACAGAATTAGAATGACTGATTTCCCCCTTTGCCTCAGGCTCCAGTGTGGCTCAGCATGCTATTACTGATCCTCCTTTACTTAAAGTGTTACTTTGTTCGTCATGGATTTCTGCATTAACTTTCACTTGAAAAATATTGCATTAAATATGATTTACTGCGTTGGCCGAGATGGGCGCTGGCCCACACTTTGTCCCTGTGTTCTCCTTCCCCTGGCCCTGGGTGCAGCCTCTGGAGTTCTCACTATTGCTGGGAGCTAGGAAACCTGAGACTCACAGGATTCCTACACTGTCCAAGGTAGGCTGGGCTGGACTACCGAAAGGATACCTGGGAAGGAAGGACGCATAACCCTCAAACTCTCCTCACCAGGGAGTAGCCATGCCTCGACCCTGTCCTCTTGCTGCTATCTGGTAGCAGAACTCAGGGCTCTGGGGATAGTAACATTCAGGTATCCTGACAGGGACAAAAGTCCCATTCGGGCCTGTACTAAACTCACTCTCGTTCTGTTCCTCCAGGATGGACCTGTCTCCCTCCCAGAAGCTGGAGCCACCTCCCAACAGGCAGAGTGAACTTGCACCTGAGGGCATTCAGGTGGGCCTAGGGCAGCACAGGGCAAGATCCCCGGCCTAAGGAGACAGGGATGGGGGGGGGGTGAGAGCTAGTCTCAGGGAGGGAGTCTACCCTGAAGAGAGTTTGGTGACTCCATGAACCAGTCAGTCACTGTCCCCAGATTAGGTCAAATCCTTCCATTGCCCCACCCTGAGAAGTGACAAACTCAGGCTATCCTAACCAGAGCCCTCCCTCAGAAGAACATTTCACTGCTGCTCAACCAGCTGTAGAGATGTAGCTCAATTGGTAGACTACTTTCCTAGCATGCATGACATCCTGGGTCCAATGCCCAGCACTGAATAGATTGAGTAAGGTAGTGTGCTCTGGACATGGAGGCAGGGAAACCAAGAGTTCAAGACCTAGCCAAGGGTGGTGGCCTGCACCTTCAATCCCACCCCTCAGGAATCAGAGACAGGCAGATCTCTATAAGTTCCAGGTCAGCCAGGGCTACATACAAGACCCTGTTTTTAAAAAGAGGAAAGGAGTTAGGGAGAAAAAAATCAGAGAGAGAGAGAGAGAGAGAGAGAGAGAGAGAGAGAGAGAGCACTCCTTAAGATCAGCCTTGGCTACTTAGAGTTACTCTCCCATGTGACTGCCTCAATACCAAAACACATTCCCTTGTGAGGTGCCTGGCCTGTACTGAGTGCCTTTATCGCCTCTCAACCAATCATATGGTGAATATGGGGACCATGAACCAGGACGAGCATTCCCCCACAACTCTAGGGTTGAAAGGGTCACCTGCAGAGGGTGTAGGGTGGTCTGTACAGCTCCCTCTTTCCTTTCAGGTTCTCCATCTAGATCTGGGGAGACAGCAGGAAGAAGATCTGCCCCTACAGCCCTCCTACTATGACCTGGGGGTCTCCCCCATCTACCGACCCTTGGTAAGGATGGCTAAACCCTAGGACAATGCCACAGCCCAGCTCCCCCACAGTCTAGCTGCCTTAGAAGGGGAGAAGACAAACAAGAGAATGAAACGTTGGGCTGGGAATAAAGCTCAACTGGCAGAGTGCTTGCCCTTAACGCTTAGCACTCAACAGTCACTAGGTTTGAGCCCCAGAACTGTGCAGCATGGTGCTGCACTCCTGTAATTCCAGCATTTAGGAAGTCAAGGGGGCAGAGTCAGATATTCAAGGTCATCCTTAGCTACATAAGGAATTTGAAGTAAGCCTGGGGTACATGAGACCTTATCTGAAAAAGGGGCAGGGGAGGCAATAGCATGCCTAGGCGGGTAAGGGTACTTGGAATGGCAAGCCTGGTGATCCACATGAGGTAGGAGAGAACTGACTCCACACCATCCTCTGACCTCTGTGTATGCTGTAGCTCACATGTTTCATGTTACACACACACACACACACACACACACACACACACGCACACACTCACACAGGGAGGGAGAGGGAGAGAGACAGAGACAGAGAGAGATTGAAACAAGATCCTTAGCCAGGAGGGATGGGGAGAAGGAAGCCCACTTCAGTGCCCCTGGGCAAGAGGTGCTGTATTCAATATATACCAGAGGAGAGACGGGACTTCCAAATTTGCTAAGCCCAGCCTGACGCCCAGCTCTCACTCCCCCAAGCATCACCCCCAGCTCCATACCCTGCACCCAACCACCAGAAAGCTCCTTCATGGCTCCTTCTCCTGGCCCCACTCCCAGCTGCTCACAAGGCCAGCAGCACTTGGATGCCTGCTACCTCTGCCCATGGCCAGTTCCTTTCAGAAGGCTTGGGGACTGAAGGTGGTACCATATGGTGCCAGCCCAGAAACCTGGGCCCAAAGATAACACCCTCTCTCCTGGCACTGGTGGCCAACGCAGGCCTTTGTCTCCTCAGCACAGCTATCCTCCCTCTTAGCTGGAAGTGCCAGTAAAGGTGCCAAATCCTGGCCCCAGGGCAGTTACATTCCCTTCCGGGGGGGGGCTATACCCCGAAGAACAGCCCAGCCTCCACTTTCTGATACAATGCAGGGTACCAAAGACCACCCGGTGACCAGAACAAGAAGTGACATGAAACTGACTCCTCAGAGAGAAACCCCTACTCCACTGCCATCGCCATTAGAGAGGGTTACAGCATGGCCCAGCCAGCTCCCACAAAAGGAATCAGAGTGGCAGGGTAGGGTGCTGTCTGGGCCCCAGGCATCTTGCCAATTGTTCTCCAAATGCTATTTCATTTACTCTCATAACAATCTAAACCGCAAGTCTTGTCGGAATTTACTGGATAAATTGGGAAAGTGAGGCTCAATGAACCCTCCAGGTCCCTGGGAGCCTGCTTCCAGGTGCTGTGTGTACGGCAGTCAGCATGACCACCAGGCACATAGGGAGTGAAGGGAAGACACAAGCGCTTAGAGCAAGCCCTGTGCGGCTTCCAACTTCCTACCGGTCAGAGGGACTCATGTCTATTGTCTGCCTGTCCAGTCCAGCAAGGAGAAGCGTGGGCAAGGTGACTGATTGTGGGCGAGGTAAAACAGAGTGGAGAGGTGCACCATTCTCAGAAAAGAAAGCCACCCCCCTTCCAAGATTTGCAAAATTATCCTTCTGCCTCAACCTGGAGACTGAGGTGTAGGGGATAAAAGGAGGAGGGGCCAAGGCTGTGGCACAGGAGAAAAGATGATGGAAGTTTGCAATTTGGAAAGTTGTGGGTAGACTCCAGTGGGATCCCCTGTAGAGTGGGCCAAGACACACCGTAATAATCGCTGTGATGTAAGGAGACAGCTGTGCCTGGCCCTAATCCCCACACAACTTCCTCCATCTTGCTCTCTGCCAGCTGCCCCTTCCACCCAGCAGTCACAGGCCTCTCTGGGATGTAGGGGGAGCCAGACTACACCCTTCAGCTCTAACTCAAGGACAGGACCAATCCCTCAGACCCCACTACACATTCTTCTTCCCTTGTTCCCACTGAGCACCATGCCCCATACTCATGGCTCTAAGCCTCCTCCCTTCTGAGCAGTCTGCCCCTCTCCAGCTCTGCTGCAACTGAACTAACAGAATCTTCTAGAACAGTGGTTCACAACCCTCCCAATGCTGCAAACCTGTAGTACAGTTCCTCATGTTGTGGTGACCCCCAACCTTAAAATTATTTCTTTGCTACTTCATAACTATAATGTTGCCACTGTTATGAATCATAATGTAAATATGTGATATGCAGGATGTCTGATATTCAACTCAAGGAAGTTGTGCCCCACATGTTGAGAACCTCGACTCTGTAAGCTTATCTATTCAAGAGCCTCTATACCAAGAATAGAGGGCGCCACCTCTGCTCACCAGTCACAGGCAGGAGATGAGTCCAGGAGATGTCTCCCCCCTATCCTGTGTGAGCCAGAAGGCAGTATAACAGGAATATCTGGGTGGAAGAGGCTGAAAAGAATGGCCTGTGGGGTGGGGTGTGCAGGTCTTCAGAGGGTAAGAAAGTCTAGCACCTTGGGAGGCTCCACTCTTGTTCCCAAGGAAGGTATAATTCCTTTTGCCTTACAGAGTAATTACTGGTCGGCAAAGGATTTATCCCCAGTACTCAGGTTTGTTGTCCATGCAGCTTGTATACAAGTCACATTATTGATGTTGTCATCAATTCTGCTTCTCAACGAGTGGTGAGAGAGGGAGACGGGTAGCAGGCACTACTCGCTGAAACAGAGCTCCAGAGAGGCCAGGAAGATGTCAGGGAGCCTGCAGGGTAGCAACTCTGCAGGCTCAACCAAGCTCAGTGGCCCTAACCTGAGTGGCCTAAGTTCTCCTTCCTGAGTGGACCAAGTTCAAGCTGCACATTTACCCAGGAGTGCTAACCCAGGCTGTGACACTTCCCTGGATGCCTGTGGAGGTTTCTGGGCGAGGAGCTCACCCAGGTACTACTGGAAAGCTATGCTGCTCTAGGTGTGCTCTTTGGGAAGGCCTCAGTGGATCCATGATGTCCAAGGAGGAAAGGGGAGAGGAGACAGGGCCCTACCTTTAAGGAGAGAGGTTCCTGTCTCCTCATCCCTGTGAACAGACAGTCCAGGATAGAAACTGAAGATTCTACTCATTGGCCTTGGGGACTCTGAAGCCACTAAGTTGATTCAAGTGCCCCAAGAAACAGATGCCACAGTGAAATCAGACATGTGGGGGTGGGGTCACTGGGAGGACGATCTGAGAGATACAGAAGGAGCAGAGAGTGGGCTTTTGACCAGAAGGCTGACTTATTGCCCATGAAAGGAAAGGGGGGGAGAGGAGAATTACCTGGGAAATCTCAGGATGTTAACACAGATTGGCCAAGCAATGGAGAACACTTAGTCCACCATGGCCATCCCATAGGAATTTACCTGCACTGACCAGTCCTCACTGATGAGTAGATGGAACAGACTGGGCCATGGGTGCCCTCAGCACAAACACAGTTGGAGGACCCAGAGGGTGGCAGGTAGGGCTACAGCCAATTGCTTCAACATCCTGAGACCACAGAGTTGTCCATGCCGCCCAAGTTCAGATTGTCTATGGTTCTTTTCGTGAGAGACAGAGCCCTGTAGCTATGGAAGACCTTACTTAGGGTCATGGCTGGTATTGCCTTCTCCTTTCTTTATTTTTGTTTGTTTGGGTTCTTTTTGTCTGATTTTTGAAACAGTCTCCTGTTGCCCAGTCTAGTCTCATACTTGAAATGTTGTTAAGGAAGGCCTTTAACTCCTGATCCTCCTGCCTCTACCTTCCAAACTCTGGGTTTACAGGCATGTACCACCACCCTTAGCTCACTTCTGTTTCCTGTGCCCGTTAGCTTCCCTTCTTCAACCACCTCGTCAGCAGGCCTTGATGGTTAATCTGGTTCTTGCTCTGGCCCCTGGGTCAGAATCCTCCAAGTCCACCCTAAAGTCAGATGTGGAAGCACACACCAGTAACCCCAGCTACT